AGGGTTTAGGGTTTAGGGTTTAGGGTTTAGGGTTTAGGGTTTAGGGTTTAGGGTTTAGGACGACCTTCTTTGGCCTCGAGGGTTTGCTTCTGGCCTCTCTCCTGCTGCACCCTTCTCCGGCCTTCCCCCTCTCAAGGCCGCCAGTCCTACCGCCCAGGGCCTAGGGTTTAGGGTTTAGGGTTTAGGGTTTAGGGTTTGGGGATGCCGCACCCCTCGAAACCCTCCGAGGGCTTCCGCCCCTTTTCTTTGCTTCCAAAATTCCCCCACCCTCTTCAGGTGTACAGACACCTCCCGCCTTTTGCTGCTGCTCAAGTGGATGTCTTCGAGGCCGCCACGGCCCACAGACTCCGAGGTAAACCCTAAACCCTAAACCCTAAACCCTAATTCTTGGCTTCGGGGGCGATCGCTGGAGAGGCGGGCTGCGCCCCGGGACCCGCAGCTCCGCTCTTTCTTCCGAAACCCTAAACCCTAAACCCTAAACCCTCGGCTGGTGTTTACACCAGCTGCTGCTGGGGGCTCTAGGGTTTAGGGTTTAGGGTTTAGGGTTTAGGGTTTGCGCGCAGTGCTGCACTTTCTAGATGAAAAGTTCGGCCTAGACCCTTCCACAAACCCTGCGGTGCTGCGGGCCGCAGCACCAACCCCTGCAGCAGCAGCAGCAGCAGCAGGGGGAGCAGCAGCAGCAGCAGCAGCAGCAGAAAAGCCCCTCTATGTGCAGCTGGAGGAGCTGCTGCTGGAGGGGGGCCTCATGCTGCCTGCAGCAGCAGCAGCAGCAGCAACAGAGCAGCAGCGGCAAGAAGTTGCAGAAAGAGATGCCATTTCCCATTTTGCGCTGCGCATTGCGTAAACCCTAACCCTAAACCCTAAACCCTAAACCCTAAGTGCTGCAGCAGCTGGAGCAGCAAACTCTTTTGCTTCTGCGTAAGAAGACCTAAAGCGCTCCCCGTATTGGTTTTAGGGTCTAGGGTTTAGGGTTTAGGATTTAGGGCTTGGGTCCTAAGGTTTGGGGTTCGGGCCAAAGGGCTTAGGGATTAGGGTTTAGGGTTTGGGGTTTAGGGTTTAGGGTTTTGCTGCGCAGCTTCAGCAAAGACCGCGACAAGCAGCACTGGCTGGTGCAGCAGGAGAGCCGCCTCTTGATGTACAGATTTGGTAACCCAAAACCCTAAACCCTAAACCCTAATTAACAAGCCCAGACCCTTACTTAGAGCAGTTCTTCAATTCTTATGTTGCCATATTTGCTGCGGCGCATTTCAGCCTTGGAAGTTCACTGTAGGGTTTAGGGTTTAGGGCTTAGGGTTTGGAGTATCGACTTTAGGGTTTAGGGTTTAGGGTTTAGGGTTCAGAGTTTAGGGTTTAGGGTTTAGGGTTTGCCTGCAGATCGGCTTTGCGCTTTCCGGGACTTGAGCGACGGGACCCAAAGCTTAATTTCGAGCTTCTTGCAGCAAGAAGGTTTAAACTACGCTACTGTAAGGGTTTAGGGTTTAGGGTTTAGGGTTTAGGGTTTAGGGTTTAAGGGTGGCAAGGATCAGCTTTGTCAGGAACCTTTCACGCACCCAAAGCCATTTTTACAGGCTCCCTGCCACTATGCCGTAGGGCGTAGAGCTTATTAGGGTTTAGGGTTTAGGGTTTAGGGTTTAGGGTTTGTGCGCAGGTGCCGCGCCCGCGAGACCCTGTGGGGAGTTCAGCAGCAGAAGCTCTTTGGAAAACCGCCACGGGGTTTTTGAGGGGCCCTTTGGCGCAGCAAGTGCAGCAGCTATATCTCGTAAACCCTAAACCCTAAACCCTAAACCCTAAACCCTAAGGCCTAGAGGCTAATCCAGCCGCCTCGTTGCTCCCGGCTGCGGAGCGCTTGGAGTTCCGAATCGGTGGCGTCAAGAGTGTAGGGTTTAGGATTTAGGGTTTAGGGATAAGGTTTAGGGTTTGGGGTTTAGGGTTTAGGGTTTAGGGTTTAGGGTTTAAGCGCGCTTTTCAGGTCCCTTGCTTCCCGGATGCCGGGCAGCTCGTGCGCAATCGCCGTGTGTACATCAAAAGTAAGTTTAGGGTTTAGGGTTTAGGGGTGGGGGTTTAGGATTTAGGGTTTAGGGTTTAGGGTTTGGGGTTTAGGGTTTGGGGCTGAAGGTTTTTTAGTGCGTAGGCGGCGTGATGACGCTGCTTGAAGTACAGGTTTAAGGCTCGGAACTTAGGGTTTAAAGCTGAGGGTTTAGGGTTTAGGGTTTAGGGTTTAGGGTTTAGGGGTTAGCGAGTTTGTTCAGATATGATGGCATACGTTCCGGATTATGAGTTGGGCGCTGTTGTCTGTGGGCTGCTGCGGTGTGTGGCTAAACCCTAAACCCTAAAGCCTACGAAACCCTAAACCCTAAACACTACTAAATTTTAAACCCTAAACCCTAAACCCGACCTTAACCCTAACAGGAAACCCCAAAGCTCACGCACCGCTTGCAGTTACGGCGCAGGTCTTACTGCTAACGGTCAATATCTAGGGTTTAGGGTTTAGGGTTTAGGGTTTAGGGTTTGTGTTGCAGAGCGGCAATGAACGCTTCCTTTGAACTCCTTGAAGGCCGCCAAGATACCTTGCAGGTGTCAATACACCACAAACCCTCAAGGTTGACGACAAAGGGTTTAGGGTTTAGGGTTTAGGGTTTAGGGTTTAGGGTTTAGCGCTAAGGGTTTAGGGTTTAGGGTTTGTCTCAGAACACTGTTTTCTCGGACCCTCGAGTTGGGAAGCTCTTGAGCGCTGCGCCGACTGTCTACTTAGGTGAGAAAAGGGTTTGGGGTTTAGGGTTTAGGGTTTAGGGTTTAGGGTTTAGGGTGTAGGTTTCGGATGCAGGCTGGGGTTTCAGGATAAGGGTTTAGGGTAGGGCCTAGCTAGGGTCTGTGGCTTAGGGTTTACATTCTACGGTTTAGGGTTTGCATGCAGGCAGAGATAAAAACAAGAAAAGGCTAGGGTTTAGGGTTTAGGGTTTAGGGTTTAGGGTTTGCCTGCAGGCAGGGATTTCAACAAAGATGCAGTGAAGAGCACGGAAGAGCGCCTGATGCCTCAGTCCATAAAACAGGTCAGAAAACCCTAAACCCTAAAACCTAAACCCTAAACCCTAAAACCTAGACCCTAAACCCTAAACCCTGATTACGAGGTTCCGCTGGATGAAGTTCAGGACTAGGGTGTTTCATTTCTTGGTTTCCAGTGTTTAGGGTCTACGGTTAAAAGTTGAGGGTCTAGGGTTTAGGGTTTAGGGTTTAGGGTTTTGTTTTCAGGTGTACAAAGACTCATTCCCTCCCTGCATGCGCCGCCTCTATGAGAGCTACATGTAACTTCAAACCCTAAACCCTAAACCCTAAACCCTAGATGGCCACTGCTTCTCATATCTGCGCAAACGCGAATCCAGCATCACTGGTGCTGCTGCTGCTGCTGTTGCTGCTGCTGCTGCTGCAGGGCGGAACATCACCTGCGCCACGGCGGCCGCATGCAGCTGTGGTTGTTCTTTAAAGTAAGCAGCAGCAGCAGCAGCTGCTGCTGCTGCTGCTGTTGCTGCAGCAGCAGCAGCAGCATCTACAGCGTGTGGGGTCTAGGGTTTATTGGCTCTCTGGGGTTTAGGGTTTAGGGTCTAGGGTTTAGGGTTAAGGGTTTGCGGTTTAGGGCGCAGGGATGACCCTGGAAGAGAACCTGCAGTTCAACAGACAAATTTGGAGAGAGCCCCAGAAATTCGACAAGGAGTAAACCCTAAACCCTAAACCCTAAACCCTAGTTCTTGGCAGCGGAAGCAGCTGAGCAGTTCCTGGAACTCTGAGGGTTTAGGCGCTTGCCTGTCTCGGTTGCACACCATGCTTTCAGGGGCTAGAATCCAGGGTTTAGGGTTTAGAGCTAGGGTTTAGGGTTTAGGGTTTAGGGTTTAGGGTTTGGCTGCAGGCATGCGTACAACTTGAGACACATGTACGGCTTAGAAGGCAAGCGTTCGAATTATGCGCCTTTGAGATGTTCTCAAATCATAGCAGGAGGCGTCACCGGAGTAAACCCTAAACCCTAAACCCTAAACCCTAAACCCTAGTGGAGGCAGGAGGCGCCCAGTTGCTGCTCGGAAGCTCCGCGGCGTCGCCCCGGGGCTGCATCTTCAGCAGCAGCAACGCAGCCGCGACCCCAAACCCTAAACTCTAACCCTAAACCCTAAACCCTAACCCTAAACCCTAAACCCTTTTTTGCAGGGCCCAGGGACAGGAGACCACCACGGCTGCCCTTTCAAACATTTTGACTTGAAGCGGCTTCAGAAGCTTTTCGAAGGCTGGGGCTTGAGCTGTACGTAAACCCCAAACCCTAAACCCTAAACCCTAAACTCTTTTGCGTCAAAGTCATGGGAGAAGGCAAACCCTAAACCCTTCCGCACTCCCGAAGCCCCTTCTAAACCCCACCCTCTGAACCGTCAACCCTCGCTGCTGCTGCTGCTGCTGCTGCTGCTGCTGCTTGTGC